CCAGACAATCTGGCTCCCAGAACAAGGGAGGAGTGATTCAACTCATCACTGACAATCAAATCACCTTTCCCCACAAGAGTGGGTATGTTGGTGGAGTTTGTAGCAAAACCCATTCCAAAAGCTATTGCTGCAGGCTTATTAAGAAACCGCGCCACAAGAGCTTCCAGTTCATCATGAATGTGAAGAGTTCCTGGAGAGGAAACAAAATCCTCTGAACAATTACTTGTGAGGGAAAGCTGAGGAAACACTGCCTAATGGGCAACCTTGCTCTGGACCAGCATTACCACAGCTGCACTCTTGGAAAAGCAATCTGGGGGAAGCAATGACCCAATGGCTGATGTGCTGGACTTTGGGTCAAGAGCTCTGAGTTCAAGAACTGACTGGGGTCATTATTGTGTTTGTAGGCAAAACTCTTTCCTTTCACAATTCTTCTCTCCACCCAGGAGTATAAATGAGTACTGGCAAAGTGTTTGGGAAGTTTGATGAAGTGCTTAGGGGTAACCTTAAGGCAGACTAGCATCCCCATCCAGGGAGGAGAAATAATTCTCCTAAGCACTTCATACTGCAGAAACCAAGATAAGTGCTGACTGTATGGGCTCAATTACAAACTTTGCACTCTTGGAGAAATTACTGAGGACTCTGATACAAAACGTCTAGATACCCTACTCAAAAAGCTTCTGTAGAAGTAAAGTTTTACCAGTTCCCCAAAGACATAAAAGTTGCTAGCCTGTGGCACCCACGCTGTACTACGTGAAATGCAAAGTCCTAGTCCAACCCCAGAGGAGTTGGCATTTGCTCTACTACTGATCATTTTCTGCTACAGAAATGTTGTTTAGCTCACCATATTCATGTCTTGGACTACAGCCTCCCAGACCATATTTAAGGACTGTTTTCTCAGCAGCCTCAGCACATGGACCCACATTTTCCGCAAAGCCAAGGTAGTTATAAGAACCAAGATTAAGTGCTTTTGTGGTCTCTCCAGTTTTTCTAAGAAAAGAAATTTAAAAATACACCAGGTATGTCATTAATAAAATCAGTAATCAATAAAGCTGCCTTACAGTAGTTCTGTAACTTAGATTCTAACTGTAATGTTCTAAATTGACTCTGCTAACTTGGGAATGCAAGATTAAGGCTCAGAATAATGGCTAGTCAACAGTCAATGTCCAATCAAATATAGGTTTTGCTCTGCCCAACTCCTTGGATAGCCGGAGATTTTGTCCAGTTTTTTACATACATAAAAATGAATTTAATTTTGAGTTTTTGCTTTTTTTTGGCATGTTAACTGAGGCACATTGTCTTCTCTGGTATCTGCAAGTATTTCAATAATTATTACCAACAATTTAAGCAGTTATGACCTTGAAAGTCCCTTGCAAAAAACGCTTTAAAACAATTTTTAAAAACTTAGGTATGTACATCATACCTGAAAGACCACCCATAATTATCAGTGACTCTATCAAGAATTTCAATATCTGCACCAGGAACACTGCAGATTGGTCTGTTCCAGCAGTCTCTTATTCGAGTATAAAGATTCCTTGTGTAGAAACTTTCAAAATCCGCATAAAGGGGGACAAAACCCTGAAGAAAAACAAAACAAAAAAAGGAAAGAGACTCAAGTAACCTTTAGTTTCTGAAACAAAACTGTGAACTTCTACATGTAAAAATGTGATGAAGACACACTGACAGGTGGACAAATCAATTAAAGAGTCATGCAGGTGTAGGAGTTACATGAACTGTAAAATATTGAATATTTAAGGGTCAAACAATGAGAAAATAATATTATTCATTGACAAACAAATATCTAATGCACTTAGGCCAAATTGTATTTTACACAGTATTATAAGTGTTTGTTATCAAGAAAAACAAGGCCATGCTTGATACATGTGCTAAAAGGATTTACTTTTTAAGCTTAGTTTAACAACTTAGGTTTAGCTAGCCAACTGCTTGTCATTTCACCCCACTTTTCCATGGCACACTTTTGAAGTGTTATTTCCTTTCCTTTTGTACTAAACATTGCTTTAAGTCTTGTTAAGTAGTTTGGAGAAAATGAGGTCTACTCGACTTTTAACAGTAAGTTATTAAGACTGCAAATCCTTTAACCCTTTAACTCCCATGAGTGACCAAAACAGAATTTCTCCTCACATTATCAATACAATATCAACCAGGTAAGTGATGAGAATAAAGAAAAATATCAATTTGGGATAATTAGTTGATCCAATACTTTATTCTCTGAACTAACATTATAAGAATTACATGGTTGACAGTAAGGAGAATTACAAATTTGATCTGGGAGTTAAAGGGTTAACACCCAGGAGTAACCAAGAGCATTTTCTCCTTTAGTTACAATCAATACAATAACAACCAGTAATAACAATTTTAAAAAAAATTAAATTTATGGGATTACTGTTTGATATAATAACATTATCTCTGAGTTAACATCATAGGAATTGTATATACACAGTTATTACTAATGAGAGTTAAAGGGTCAAATTGTTCTGAGTATAAGGAAGGGCAAGTGCAGTAGAACAAGGTACTAATGAATAAAGCATGCTAAAAAAAAACATAAAATATCAGGATACCAAGAACAATAAAAAGAGTAAAAAATAACCTGATTTTAACACTCCTTTTTAGAGCAATTTTAAATTGAGTGTTGTATGCATTCCAAGATTTATTTGGTTCTGCTTTATTTCACCACTTGATTGGTTCAGAAAACTGACATCAATCAGATCTAAACAAAAAACCAAAAAAAACCATGACTTGGTTGGTCACAGTTTCCCATGCTATTAGAAGTTAGCTTGCTTTCACTCTGAATTCTCATTGGACCCTTGCTCCCTTTGCTAAGACTTGCAATTGTGATTACTATGATTTTGGTTTATCAGCATTGGATTGAAATAAGCTCTTAATTTCTCTGATGAAAAGCTAACATTAAAAACCTCAGTGTAAAATGCCTTGCGTGAAATACCTAATTCACTCTGACAAAAGACTAACACACAAAACATCAGCTTTAGAAATTTTGACAAGGCCAATTCATATTATTAAGTCAGCTGACAAAACCAAATTATCTAATTACACCCCACCCCATGTACATGTAGTTTCTTTACAAAATTACCCTCTTTATCAATTTGTAAACATCAGGTTTTAGCCTAAAGTTATAGATAAATGTGGCCTCATGAAAATCCGACCTTATTTTCAAACCTTAGCTCTTTGGCTTATTGAGGTGATTAGCATGTGACCTCTCAGCAAATTTATATCCAACAAACAGAGGATGAAAACGAGAAGATAAGGAATGAACACAAGACAACTAAAGAGGAAATTTGTCAAAGACCTCTTGGTGGATTAGGGGTTAACGTAACTGTTTTCATCGAAAAAAAAGGAGAGCTAATTTTCCTGAGTGACACATTTTATCTTGGTATGGTGATCTTTCCAAGGTGTTGAGTTATGCAATACCATGCACTTACATCATAATTGTACGGGTTTTAAGCGGATACATTATACTGCCAGGGAAATATGTAACATCTAGATGTTGTCACATTGCGTTATTTTAAATTTATGAATGACCACAGGCCTCTACATTCTTGTTCAATGACAACATCAGTCTATTTGCCCATGCGTCTCACCGTCAAAACATTGCGAAACGAAGCGCGCTGCATCGATCGAAGAACGAGAACGAATATTTTGTGAATAACTCGGGCATTAAATTCACATTCCCAGAAAAAATAATTCCTCCATCGACGAATTTTCTTTATGGGAAGTATAGTTACAGAATCGAAGCTTGATGAAAGGAAGTTTTTGACTAAAAATAATTTCGGTCGACGCCCTCAAATTGTGGTGTAGCGATTCGTGATTGTACAGCAACAGCTGACATCAGAGAACTGTGCCTGATCTTGAAATCCGTAATGATTTCAGGAAGCTATGAATATTTCTTTGTAAGTAAAAGCACTTTTAGATCACATTCTCACCTCATTTCCGCCCTCTTTCGGTGCTTTCGACTTTTCCAAACCGTATTTTCGCATGAAGTCACGTAAGTAGCCGAACAGAATCAAAAAGAAGTAAGATAGATACGTTAAAACAGCGACTTGAAACGGTGTATCCTCGAAATCCTCGGTAAAAGACTCTTTAAACTCTTTAAGTTTCGCTTGCTCGTGAGCTGCAAATCCATTAGCTTTGGCAGAGTAGCCATTTTTGTACGTTTTCTGCCTTCTGGGGTTCGTTGCATACGCTCCGGCGACCATTTTGAGTCAGTTGTGTTGTGTCACTTCGGCCGTAGTGCCCAGACCTCCCTGGATCACAAGACAGAGTAACACACGACCTTTGAACGACTTTGAAGTCATCGTGATTTCCAAGACACTTACTAACTTTATTTTCATGCAGATAGAGCTCTGTTTTTATGTCATGAATAGCCTTTCCTCACAAATCAAGCAGCTGTTGACAGTTCATAGCTTCTCATTTATTTAGTTCGTCTTTATCGCTAAAAATATTTTAATTTGTGTTTATATTTATAATGAAAACATTATCATCCTTAGTATTTAACCAAAAAAAGATACAATTACAACACGTGAAAGGGCTTCCTAATATTTACATAGACACGACTGTGGAGTGCTTATTAAACATGTAAGCCACTATGTCAGACATTATGCAACGTCTCGAGAAAAAGCCAACGATTAATTCATGAAAGCGTCACGCGTTGTGTGACTCGGTGTTAAGTTACGAGAGGAACCGTTGAAAATTTGAACACGTTTTAAGGAATAGGAATTCCTTTTGGCAGGAATAACAGTGATGGAAAAGCAAGCTTAAAACGGGCAGAAATCGCCAGAAACTACAACGGACACACCGGATGTGAGTAAGTTTTATTGATTTTACGTGTAAAATGTTCATATTTCGAAATATTTATCGTTGTAAATCGACGACCATATTTCGTTTCCCCTACTGTTTAAATCTCGTAACTTAACACCGCGTCACAGCGCGTGACGCTTTCATGAATTAATCGTTGGCTTTTTCTCGATACGTGAGCTTGGGCTGCCTGTGGTTATTGAAAAAATGTTTCCAGTCGGCTTGCAGTCATGACGGTTAAAGTGAATGCATCTGTTTTACTCTTTCAGCGCCATCACTGTAAGGACCTGTGCAGAAATTTTTTTGTCATCTGTGATCTATCCTTCGAGAACGTCTTTCGCTCCTGCTAGCATCTTGTCCGCAACAATTCCATAAACGAAAACCCATGCTTCTTTAAATCCAATGTAAACTTCTTTCTCGAGTCTTTGTCAAGAGTGTCAAGCAAAGCGACCCCAAAAAGCTTTCAGTTAAAAAATAACATAAATTTAAGACAAAATTCTATGAAATTGCACTTTTATTTTGGCCCAAAAAGTGTTTCAAGATCTCAAGCATTGTAAGCCTTGATAATTTTACGTGGAGTTTGTTTTAATTAAATGAGATCTTAAAAGAAAACTCGATACCGCCCACATAACTTTAATTTGGTTCGTCAATGGCCCGTCGATAGGTGGACAGGGGTGAATAATTGAAAGACCAGTAGATTTTAAATTGACCATTAAAGAAAATTAAAAGTGTGTTCGACCTGTGCTATCATCGTGATTGCTACCACTTATTTCAATTTTTTTATTGACTGTCGAAAGTAGTCCGCGTTTTGTTTCAATTGCATTTCCCTTGCTTCGGGCAATTTAACTGTTTTTACTCTCTCACCTCCTTGTTTTACTTGATTCGCTCTGATTGGCTGTTGTAATAACTTATCGATAACTCTGGTTTAGATTTTGCGAAAAACGTTCTATTTGACCGTGATCATTTGACATATTCCAGTATGATAATTCACTGGCTGCAAAGATCGCGTTAAGTAATTTGCTTTTCCATACCCCATAATGATGTTCTTCGACTTTGTATTTTGCATGTCTCTCTCCCAAGTCCTTTAGAGCAGGAGCAATAGAACCCCGATTACCAGTCCTGGTTACCAGTCCCTGCCTCTTAAGTCGATCATCAGCTCTCATCTTGTCACACGATGATTTATCAATGTCTCTGAATGAAAACATTTCTAAGGTTTCTGGGTTCACTTTGAATAACCTAAGAGCGAGAGAGAGAGAGAGAGAGAGAGAGAAGGATTTAAAATTGAAATATATTAAAGTTTACATAGCAACCAGGTGGACATTCAGACATGGTTTGATGTTATTCTGGTTTAAAGATTTAATGAATGTAAACGAGAAGTTACGATTCATAGACCCAACGTTTCGACACTCCTTACTAGTGCCTTCATCTAAACGCTGCAACAGGAGGTCCTTTTACACGCTCACTAATTAGCTGACCTTTTTTCTGACGAGGTGTAAATAGGCGTCAGGAAATAAGCCGCCATCATCACGATTTAAAGGAGCGTGGGCGGAGTTGATATGCCAGGCTTCCAAACAAAGGCGCTGGTGATAACGCCGATTAATGGTGATAACTATAGACTTATCCCATTTCTTTTGGCAAATAGGCCGTTAACCCTTAAACTCCCAAGATCTCATTAGCAATTCTCCTTACTGCCTGCCATACAGTTCTTGTGATGCTAGTTTGGAGAATTCGGGATTGGATCAATTTATAATCCCCTAATTGATTTTTTTCTTTATTCTCAACACTTTTCTGCTTGATATTGTATTGATATTGTAAGGAGAAATCCTGTCTTGGTCACTTATGGGAGTTAAAGGGTTAAGGTTGCGGAGGAGAGACTCGGAGAAGATACTTCCCTAGGACAAAGAACTTCTTTGTCTCTGTCGAAACGTTGGGTCCATGAATTGTAACTTCTCGGTTACATTCATTAAATCTTTAAACCAAAGTAGCATCAAACCATGTCCAATTTAAAATTAATGAAAAACTTGCTTTTTTAGGTTAGTATTAGTTATCAAGACAAAATAAAAAGATGAAAATCCGGATACACAGCTCCCTAAAGACCTCTCACTGGTAGAGGTAATCTGATGTAATTAAATAGGTGTTCAGCTTTAGAAACTGTTAGCGGTGGCCAGTTTACAATGTGTGATAAACTCAGTTAATAAAACCAAATAATCTTGTAGCACTCTCTGTAACGCATTATGTTACAGTCAAGAATTTGTAACCAATTAAGTTCGATTCCTTAATGGACAGCTCCTCTATAATTAAGTTGTCATGATTTACCATGATATAATTATCTGTAAATAAATATATACACATATATGCAACTGTATCGGAAGGATTTAACACTGAAAAAGATTAAATTCGCTATAAAATTTAAACGAACAACTTTATAAGATCCTTTTATCTACTTACTGTGTCTGTAAATTTCCAAGGGTTCCCACTGGAGGAACGTAAAAATCGAAGGGGCTAAGTTTAGGATGGAATACTGCAGAGCCATGAATGTCGCGGAAACACTAGTTGAATTGTATTAGATTAACAAAACAAAGGCTTAGTCGAGTTTAATTTCATTGGAGATGTGTTACCTCATGTAGAACTCTACTCCCATTTTTTCTATATCACCTTTCACAAGTCCCCAAGTTTCTTGCACCATGGCAATCTGCTTCTCAGTGACTGGCTCGATGAGATCTTCCACCACAGTGTCCGGGGTTCTGTGTTTCTTCTCGATCCGCTGTCGAAGTTTGGTCATCTATTATCCTACCGTCGACCTGATGTCTGGGGTTTGAAGGGCTGGTTTCCTCTCGTGTAGCGGTCGATGTGGTCGTAGTAGTCTGTCCTGCGATCAGAACTGGTGCTGTATTGATTCTCTCTGCCTTACTTCCTCCGCATCCCATTCTTAATATAAACTAAAAGTAAAATTACGGATTAGACTTGTCGCGAAAATTCCTTTGTCCTCATCTTCGTTTTGTTCCGAGAGGTCAAGTTGAAAGAATGATCCATGACTTCCGACCGGGAGCATTTGTGGGAAATTTCGGTGGGACTGCAGCACTGTGTGCCGTCGATCGAGGCATTCCAACCAGCTTCTGTTCAACAGAACAACGGTTTAGTTGAATAAGCGATTTTCAGTTAAAATTTGAGAGTAATCCGGGGTTTCTTTTGTTTCAGTGGTCTAAAAACTCCCCCATCTTTCTCAACCAATCAGATGCAAAACTAGAACAAAACGTGACTCGATCACTTCCGCTTTCCACTCTTCAAGCAGCTTGTCTGTTAAGCGTCCTCACTGTCTTAAGATGATGTTAAATTTTTTCGAATTGACCTTTGCCATTATTTTCCTTTTGGTTTTTTGACACGCAATCGAAAACTGTTCTCAACTTTGGTAAATCAAGCCTGAGGATCCACAGCCACCGAGTATAATTTCTGTTTAATGCTTCCTTTCCAGAAAGGATGTACGTAAAAAAAAAATAAAAATAAAAAAAAAACACGTTTGCATTTTTATGAATGTATTCCCCTTAAAACTGAGGCAGCTGTTAAAGGTCTCTTTCTTCTCATTTATTTATTTAATTTTTTTTTGGTTATCGTTTGTACAAATATACTGTATAAGAGTCAGGTGGTGATTGCCACCTAATTTTTTTGTTTATCGTTACTAAAGCATTGTATGCATTCAAATGCTAGTATATCATTCATATTAACAAGCAAACAATGGCGGATAAAGGCACTTTCCAGTGGAAAATCATCACGACGAATTATCTGTGACACAGCAGCCGTGAACCTTTTCGGAAATCCTATCCTTTAGCTTTTAGGGCTGATTAACATATAAGTTCTCCTTGTAATTCCAATATGCTATTTTACAAAAAGGTTATAAAAACAGACCGGCTAATTTTTTTAGAGAGTGTTATCGTGATTTATGGCCAAATTTTCGGATTTAATCAATAAGGAAATACAATGAGAAGGGAGTATAACTTATTGGATCTTGGGAATAAGAAGGTTACAGGATCGTCAGTGGTCGGACAATACACCAACTAATATTCGAGATCCTTCAAAAGGCACTTTAACACTCTGCCACCGATACTTCAATACAATACCAATATATGCCTGATTAAAAAAGATAACAAAAGTTACGCAGATGCGAAAACTAAGCTAAGAAAAAAACGAAAGCCACGAACAAAAACATTTACGCTAAAACTTGTTTGCAATTAATGATCATCGTGTTCGTTTTTCTTAAGCGCGACACTCAGTCTTATCAACAGTCAGTCTATCAGCTTTCTGAATTATAAATTAAAAAAAACTAGCAAGACAGCAAAAGTATATCAGTAACTCACGATAGGTAAATAAACCTTGAAAAAGTAAAAGCAAAGACAACGAATTAGCCTGCATGAGAGATGTAATTTTTTGGCGTCCTCCGGGGAAGCGGAGGAAAGCTGTAGACAAGTGTGGAGGGTGGATCACGCGGGAGAGGACCCGTGCCACTCGGCGCGCGTCACGCGTGTCTCGCACTTCACTCGCTCTTAGGACGCGCCACGCGTGCACGCAGGTTCGCCTCACCCTTACATGAGCTTGCCTGAAAGGCACGACAATATAACAGCTTCTCTGGAGAAGTCAAGGTCTAGATGTGGTTTTGAAGAAAAATGCCCTACATGTCTGCATACTTGGCTCGCCAAATCATATATTTAAAATCTTTTAACAATTGATCGATGACGATTTCCTTCAGAGGGTACTGAGTATATTCGAGTCTACATTTGTCGCCGTGACCAACTAGGCAGTTAAGACATTTTTAAAGCCTGAGAAGCAGGCAGCATTGTTTTGTTTTAAACAAAGCAATGAAAGTTTGCGCACGTTTCCTGTTTCTTTAACGTTTTCAGAATGAGGCGAAATCGCAGCAATAAACGTTCTATAAAAGACCCTCTCAGAATATTTTTTGGTTGTGTATAGAGTATATGAACTGATATTTCCTTGTCTATCCCTCCAAAACTTCTTTGGCTCCTGCTTGCATCGTGTTCGCAACGATTCCATAGACAACAGTCCACGCTTCTTTTACCTCTGAAGTAAACTTGTCCCCTAGACCATTGTTAAGAGTGTCGAGTAAAGCAGATCCTGCAACCTAAAATAATTAAAAAAAAAAAACTACATGTATCTAAATTAAACGAAAACAACGAGGGCAATTCTCAATTGACTGTCGAAAATAATCCAGGATAGCATTGATTTCGCTTTACTTTGCTCTGTGATTGGGTCCAAAAAAATTGCACCACTTTCTCAACCAATCAGATGCAAAAAAACTAAAACCAATCACGACTTGGTCACCCGCGTTTTCTTATTGTTCCTATTGTCTAAAATGTTTTTCTCTCTCCTGATTGGCTGTTGTAATCTCTTTGGTTTTGGTTTTTTAACTCTCAATCTGAAAGCGCTCTACGAATAAAAAGTGTTCCCAGATTTTAGTTTTTTCCGACCTGAATATTTTTGCGTGGAGTATATTTCAGTATGAAAAGATCCTAAAAGTTAAAAAATAGAGGCACAAGTCTACTTGACCAAGAGCTACCACCTGAAGTGTCACTGCTGAACTTTTGACTAACTAGATATTTAATTGACCCCAAAGAAGTCTTGCGATCGCTTCGTTTGTACGATTTCTTACCTCTATAAATGCTAGTTATTTCACTTAGGAAGTCTTTCCATACAGAAATTTAATGACTCGTGTTCTCCCGCCTCTCTGCTTATTTCCTTGGTTTTACTTTGAGTATTCATTGGCTACTTGGGTGTGACTGCAGATATCGAATTGTTTACTCACGTGACATACATTTCTTTACATTTCATTGCATACCACGTAATGACGTTCTTCGACTTTGTACATCGTATGTCTCCCTCCCAGGTCCTTGAGAGCAGGAACAATAGAGCCCAGATCGTTGAGCGAGTTCACGGCCAAGTCCACGTGTTGCATTGTTACCAGCGCCTGTCTTTTAAGTCGATCATCGGCTCTCATGATGTCATCGGATGATTTGTCAATGTCTCGGAATGAAAACAGTTCTAAAATATTTGAGTCTGCCTTCAACAACCTTAGAGAAAAAAAAAAAAGAATCAAAAATTGCTTTCTGAGACAAAAACATTCAGTAGTTAGTGAAAAGCGCTCTACAAATTTTGTCTCTGTTGAAAAAACGGGTGCTCTAGAGGATAAGAGGACGTAAAAGGCGTCAGAAGCGTTCCACTAATCTCGCTCTGCTCCACTATCGCGCCCGCCGCGTCCACAAGAACACTTGGCATAAGCTGGTGCAATTTTTTAAAGATTACATCATATTGCCAAACAATTATTAAAGGTTTTATGAAAGGTGGTAAATAAGTTACTGGATTAATGATTTCAGTTACGGGCAGGCGACTGTAACCTAAGTGCTCCATGCCGACGTGGTATTTTCACAGTTGATCAGAACAGAACATGCCTAGACTAGTGACTTTTCTCGGTAGAGAGCTGGTTGGGGCTATCCTTCATGACGTATTTTTCAAATGTTGTGTTTTTTTTGTTTTGTTTTTTTTTTTGCAGTCTCGGCCTGGCAAATGACATGCGGCATCGCGTCAAACCGCAGGGTTCTAAAAACAGATTATTTCGCAACTTGACCTCATTGCATGGCGTGGCAGCACATCTTTTCATGGTCAAAATACTTTTCTCATCAAACTAGGTTTGATTTGTGAGTTTAAAAAGTTGTTACCTCATCAAATGCGGCTTCTCGCTAATTTATCATGATACGAATGAGCCCGACTATAACGGAGAAATTGAACGATGAAAAACATGCTTTTCATTCAGGGATCAAAGTCGAAACAAATACAGACATCTTGCTATAAGATCTAGGGAACTCTGTTAAATCTTTTTGCTGACTTTCTGTGTCCATACACTGAGAAAGTTTCCTTCAAAGCACATGCAAACTGAAGGGTCTCACTTTTCGGCTGGAATACAATAAACCCATGGATGTACTAGGAACATTTTAAACTTGAATTGTTGTAACTTAATATGATGACCAAGGGCAAGCTGATTCAATAACATTTGAGATGTTTTACCTTATGTAAAAGTCTACTCCAACTTTTTCTAGATCACCATTCACTAGCCCCCAAGTTTCTTGCACCAAGGAAATCTGCTTCTGAGTGACTGGTTCCTCATTATCTGGCTTCTGGGTTTCTTGGTGTCCCTCTGACGCAGTTTGATCAACGGTTGTCTTACCGTCGGGCTGTTCTCTGTGGTTTAAAGGGCTTGTCTCCTCTTTGGAAGAAGTAATAATGGTGGTAGTTTGTCCCTGATCGAGAGCGATCGGTGTTGGAGCTGTTCTGGTTCTCACTGCCTTGCTACCTCCGCATCCCATCTTTGAACTAAGACTAAAATTACGAATTAAGAATTGTTGTAATTCATGGTCGTGACAATTCACATGGTTCCTTTTAGTGACCTCCGGAAAGCACTTCAGAGAAGGTTCTGAGGGGTTGTCTGTGGCATACCGAACTCAGGGAGAATGAGGAAATGAAACACGAATACAATTAAATTCGAAACAATTTACATTACCCAGTGGCGGATCTAGGGGAGGGGCCTGGGGGTCCCGAGCTTTCCCCCTTATTTTGGGTAAAACAAAAAAGAATCGCAGAAGGAAGAGGAGCCGGCCAGCAGGATCTCTAGATCGAAAGGTCAGGTTACGTAAGTTAAAAGAGCCAATTTCGTTGGTAAAAATGTTCTTTTTCTTTACCGTGCGCCCTGATATTTGTATTTTCAAGTTCTGTTTTGTTTAGATGTTTTCAGTATTTTTTCAACATATCTTTTCCCTCGTGCTGTCCAACTTCGCGTGATATTACCAGCTGTTCGGTTAGTTTGTCGTGATTTTGTACAATGTCGTTTCGAAACAAGAGAACGTGTTGTTAAAAGATTAACATTTTTAAAGGCGTGTTGCCTAGATGTGATTTTCATTAATCACTACGACAAAAATAGGTTATATTACACGTAAAAAGAAATCAATTTAGACAAAAAGGTTTAAGTGAACTGTTCTTTAGTCGGAATAATTGTGTAAGCGAGAGAGGGTTTGTTGTTCCAATTAAATCAGTTTACAACAAATTAAAAAAGCTTTTTAGCGAGGTTTCTTTTTGATCCCCTTATCAATTGCATTTTGTTTACTATTTCCTGTTGCCATGGTAGTGAAGCCCCCCTCCCCCTCCCCCCCCACAAAATTAAAAAAATAAATTGACAAAGATCGATTTAACCAGCTTAAAAACATGTTTGAGATTTGATGTGAATGGGGTACGTGACTTACTTATTTCGTTTTGAAGCCATTGACTTTGCAGGTCAGTTGTCTATTTTGGCGTCATTTCAGTTCTGATCAAGCGTATTGTAATATTCTTAACTTTATCTTTTACTAAGTCCTGTTAAGAATTCGGTGTAATTTGTTTGCTAATTAATAAAAGGGGTAAGTTTCTCAATAAACTGTGGTGCTGCGTTAGTGGTAGAGTATAACAGGGTAATTTGGTATATCAACTGAGTTGATGACGGAGGCCAATTTACGGTGGCCAATTTACCGTTATCAATTCGGTTGATAATATTAAATTAACTTGTGACTTGTTATGCGTTAGTTATCGTAAATCAAAAGCTTTTAATCACAACAATACCGATACTAAAATCCTGATCATGCTTAGAAAAATATCGCCTACAGATAATATCTTAACCCCATGGTCCGCAAGAGGGAAACCCAAATGTTCCGGTGTTTACGAATTCCTGGAGTCTATGATAGACCGCAGGAATGGAAGGGAACTCTTGCTAAAAAGACAACTTATGAACATATCAAAAATGCTAATAAGTATTCGGTTTCATAAAGAATAAACAGAACTTTTTCAATCACAAAAGAGTTCTAACCACTTTTATCACGAACTTTAGAAAGCTTATACAAAAACTAAGATTGTAGGTTAAGTCATTTGCGTGGAAGCATTTGCGTCGAAGGGGCGTCTTTCTCATCAGCCTTTTGCTATATGGCAGCGAGATTCAAGTCAGAAGGGAGTCAAAACACTTAACCAAACTGGGTAACTAAGTACCTTTATCGCCCCGATAGATCTTGACTGTGGCTGTTGTAGCAAATCAACTTGTACGTATCTGATCGCTTATGCGCAGAAACCAAACTAAATCCAAGTGCTTTTGGCTGAAAGCAAAGGCAACAGTTGAAGAGACTAGTTATTTAGTCGTCGTTGTTTACTTTGCAGGCTGTGTTATTTTAATGACATTCTTACTGTCTTAAAATTTGCATTAGAACAAGTGAAATAGACAGTAGTTAATGTACTGTTCAAAACATCTGTCAGAGTTATACACCATTTGCCCTGTTTGAATTCAAGTGCGAGAAAAGCTTACTCGAAGGTTTCAGTGGTCCATTTTACAAAGCTCAAGTTTTAATCAGGCTGTAAAGTCTAAAATCTCCTACATGACGCACGAGTGAGTGACGTCACAAAATAACTCGTAGAGTGTTATAGGTGACATCTTCGTTGTGACATGATCTTTGTTATTTACAACACATTAGCATTCAGGTTTTAGAAAGGTCGAGAAAGCTGCTGTAATATTTGCAAAGTACCAGACCAGTGGATAATAACCGCAACTCGGTTACGACAACAACGAAATCCACTCTCCAAACTTGGGGCTCATCACAACTTCACGTCGATGTAAGTGTGTCATTCAGAAATGGGTGTCACTGCTGGATTTTGTGCATAGAAGGCTCGCTTTATTCCTTTGGGTATTCACTTCGGGGGGTCACGTAGAACCGCCGAAAGCGTAATGACTAAGTTCGGTTTCATTCGTTTTGGAAAAGGTGAGATCTTTTGGAGAAAGACTCAAAGGAATGAAACAGAAACGCAATTATGCGACCTCGAGCGGCAGCGTCTACAAGTGTATCCTTGACGTGTCAGTGAACTCCAAAAAATGATTGAAGATATTTTGTGCCTTCATATGTTTTCGCTCAATGTTTTCAAGTTTGATTTGTATTTATTAAAACAGAGCATTTTCAAATCTTTAAATAGAGACTTTGAACAAGCATATTTGATGATTGTGGGCCAAAGTTCGTATTTTACTTCTTGTTATTGTCGTTTTAATTTTTGCACAGCCACCTTTTACCGGCGCGAGTGAAGCATGAATTCCAAAGAATGACTGCAGCATTTTATGCATGAAAAGTTTTTTTTTCGCCAAATGTTCTCAATCTTGATTTGCATAAAATAAAAAAGGGCATTTTGCGAGCTTTATAGAGAGACCTTTGAATGAGGTGCGTGTGAAGCGTGTTTGCAAGTCGTGCATTCGAGAACATTCCGAACAGCGCGTGCTAGATCACAATCGAAATTTAGGAAAGTCCGATCTAAGGAACTAGATAGCTTTGAGTCTGACAGCTTTTCTGAAATTCATCAGAAGCCTTTGAAAGCAATTGCGGAGGAAGTGTTTTTGGGACGCTCGCGAGCCGTTTTTGTCAATGAACTCCAAACTTCTGTTGTTTACATTTAAGCCATTGTTACTGTCTGTAATGTTTCATCACTGAAAAACGCGAACGGACTGCTCCAAAAGCTGAAAGTTCAATTCTTGCCATTTGCCGTGTGCATTCGCGAGGCATTTTAATTAACTCATGCTTTATTATTGAGTTATAGTGCCTTTCAAATTTGGCATTCCTTGCTGTGTGGTTAAAAAATTAAAAGCAAAATTTTCGGAATTGAAGCTATTGTTCGTTTTTGGACGATAAACAAAAGAAAATTGTCACAATGTCATCAAAGGGCGTTCCGATTTCTATAGCGATCTTACGTTTCCGAATGAAATACGACGAAAACCAATAAATAGCTGGAATAAATGAATACTTAACGTTTACTTAACGTTTAATGAACATTTACTTTCATGGGAAGTTTTCCTGCCGCCAGATTAGAGGCCAGTCTTTTGGGAGGTGGAGAATTTTTAGGGGATCACATGGTTTTCATGGAGAACGGAGGGGAATCAGTCA